GAATATGTGTGTGTGTGTGTGTGTGTGTGTATATATATATATATATATATATATAAAAAAAACACCACAGTAACCATTTGCCCAAGGCCACAGAGTGGTTGAGGGTACTACCATTGCTAGACAAAGAGCGGGGACCAGTGGAGAAAGGTTTGGCCTGGCCTTGGGAGGGGAAGTGCTCTGCACAGCCTGCCTCTGCTTTCTATATTGCGGGATCAGGATGGTTCATCAGGCTTCCCTGGGCCTGCATGGAAAGACCCCTCAACAGTCTTGGCCCCTCTTAGCACAGGCCCACCTGACCACCACTGATACCCTCATTTCACTTGCTGTGGATGGAAACCTGCATGTGTCAGGCACTGGATAGGAGTCATGCTCACACCACGCTCCAGCCACGCTGGCCTTTGAGTCCCCCAGTCTCAGAGCTTTGACCCAGGCTCTTCTCTCTGCCTGGAATGTGCCCCATCCCTGTTACTTGGTAAACTCTTACCCCTGCTTCAGCTCCCAGCTCAGATATTCCTCCCTTGGGAGGTCACTCCTGGCTGGAAGACTGGAAGACACTCCCTTGGCCGCACACTTTCCTAAGTGCACTTACAGCAGCTCCTCACCGTGCAAGCTGTGGAGGGTGCTGTGGAGGGTGAGCCCTGGGAAGCTGGCCCGTGTCCATTTTGCTCGACCTTTCATCTAGCACACGGCCTAGCAAAGAGGAGGCAGTGGGTGAGTGTTGCTATTTGTGGGATGCCAGTTAGGTCGGGGTGCCTCCTGTGGGTGATGCCAGGGTCAGCCAGCCAGTTTTCCCCAGGAGACTTCTATCCTGCAGTAACCTCTACATTAAAGTGCTAATAGGAAAGAACAGAAGGGCTTCCTGACTTCCTCTGTAAACACTTAAAAGGGACTTCTGGAGACCACTCATTTTGTCATGTTCTGTCCCTGGGTAATGACTTTAGGGTGGGACTTTCTTGCGCTGAAGGATAAATAAACCCGTAGCAGGAGGGGATGCAGGATCTATTTTAGGGTAGAGGAGAGGCCTGTTTCAGAACCTTTCAAATTGCAGGGCCTATCTTGGAAGTGTAGAAAAGGGTTTTTAATAGGAGAGGAGCACTATTTCATTATGTTAAAATAATGTTTACAAAGAGTCTGTAAGAATGCTGCAAGAAAATGCACATGCTATATAATATAATGTAAATATATGCGCATATACATCTCATTTGATCTCACTTATGTAAAAATATGCATTCCTAATAATGGCTTATCCTTACTGAGTTACTTATTAAATGTCACAACAACCTTTTAAAGTAGGTACTCTTACCTCCATTTTGCAGATACAGGTTAGGTAATTTTTCTCAAGGTCACAGAGCTAGTAAAGGACAGAGTTCATATTTGAAACCCAGTCCGTCAGGCTCTATAGCCCCTACTCTTAACCATTATATTATGCAGGGAGAAATCCATCAACATGTTGTCTTTGGGTGGTGGTTTATTTTCTTCTCTATTCTCCAGGATTTTCTATTTATATTTACTATAGGAGTTAAATGATAAACTTTTGAATAGCAAAGAAGGTGGGGTGGTGAAATTTGAAAGCCAAACATATGCTTTCAAACAAAAGAATTCACCCCATTTCCTTTTCCACTTTTCTACATTTTCCAGAACTGATGACCACCCCAATTTTACGGCCCACTGAGGCCCTGTCCCCAGAAGATGGAGCCAGCACAGCACTCATTGCAGGTAATAGACTCTGAGCCAACTCCAAGGGACCTTCTGGATCAAGGGCATCTCTCTCCGGAGAAAGCCTGACCAAATCCATTAATGGGCTCACCCTGGCGTGCAAGTTATATTACACACACACACACACACACACACACACACACACACAGAGCTATAAAAGACTCAGAGGCTTCTGTCAGAGGCACTACCAGTAAATGACAGGTTGGGAGGTGGCCACAAATAGATATGCATACGGACGTTACACTCGAGTACATGGGTAGGGACGAGGATATATGTGGTTGGTTGAGTGGGTGAGGAAGAGGGGGAGGATCAGAGAAACCACTTCCTGTTAGGATAAGCCATTTCCTGTTCCCTCCTTCCCGTTTCTATAAGAATCAGGAACTGGTTTGGGAGGGAGTTCAGTTTTGTCAGAAATCAAAAGCATGTGTCCTTAGCTTAACTTAAGCACCAGCAGACTCCAGCTATTATGTGCCATGGAAATTGGGGTTGGTGGGGGAACATGGTTTGGATGGAAGTGGACACTAGTTAACGAAAACAAGAGGATCTTTATGAAAACTGACTAAATCAGATGACTCCAGGAATTACTGAGACATCCTCAATCCTGAAACATCTCTACATTTTCCCTCTCCTTTCCAAGTTGTTATCACCGTGGTCTTCCTCACCCTGCTCTCGGTCATGATCTTGATCTTCTTTTACCTGTACAAGAACAAAGGCAGCTACGTCACCTATGAACCTACAGAAGGCGAGCCCAGTGCCATCGTCCAGATGGAGAGTGACTTGGCCAAGGGCAGGGAGAAGGAGGAATATTTCATCTAATGACTCCCGGGCCCCAAGGAGCTTATTCCTGGCTCCAGCGCTAACATATTGACTGCTTATTACGGGAAAGTTTTCTCTGAAGCCAGGGAGAAGCATTGATTGATGTGGGCAAATCCAAGCTCCAGCCAGGTCGCAGTCCCAAATGCCGACATCACTGACTCCAGGGACCAGGGACATGGAGAAAGCTGTTTATGGTATCTTTAACCAGGCCCTCTTATCAGAGCTGATGTTTGTGACTGGTCAAAAAGATGGGGCTATATGAGGGGACATCTGAGTATGTGCCCAGTCATCTTTTTTCACAGGTTGAAGGGAGAGAAAAGAGTGTTAGGGCCATTGGCTGCTCTACTCTGTCCCCTACCTGGTTACCTAGTGATAGCCCCAGTGGAGATAATGTCCATACAAGGTCTTCCCAGAGGCTGGATACCACAGTAAAAGGCCAGGCCAGGAGGGGTAGGAGACTCTGGAGATCTTACCTCCTGATAAATGTGCTATATCCCCTAATCTGAGCCCTTCCTTTCCGTGTTCCCCGACAACCTCATGCTTACGTGATTTTTATCCAAATTAAAATTTTTCATTGCTATGGAAGTCCGATTCTCATGTGCAAGAAGTAACTACCTTTACATTTTGACTTATTTTTCCTTAAACATTTTTGACATTTTCTTTTCCCTATTTAATGCCTTTGCATGTGTTCTCTCCCAAGCAATAAGAACCTTAGGAAAGTTCTAGAAGTTTGCAGAACTATCTTAGGGATTTGAGACAAAGATGGTGCAGGAAAGCTTGTTCCAGAGTAATGTCATTAGAAACATACCCTGGGAAGGAAGGGTGCAGTGGCTCACGCCTGTAATCCCAACACTTTGGGAGACCAAGGCGGGCAGATCACAAGGTCAGGAGATCGAGATCATCCTGGCTAACACAGTGAAGCCCTGTCTCTACTAAAAATACAAAAAAAAATTAGCCGGGCGTGGTGGCGGGCGCCTGTAGTCCCAGCTACTCGGGAGGCTGAGGCAGGAGAATGGCGTGAACCCGGGAGGTGGAGCTTACAGTGTGCCAAGATGGCACCACTGCACTCCAGCCTGGGCAACAGAGCGAGACTCCATCTCGGAAAAAAATAAAATAAAATAAATAAATAAACGTACCCTGGGAGATGAGTTGGTTCAAGCCTCCATCCTGGCAAGGGCCATAATTTCCTAGAATCCCTTCTATGTATATACAGAAGGAACCAGGAAAAATCAAGCTACTGCCTTTCCCAGTGTATCCTCAGAATCAAGCCAAGAGTTGTTGTTCACTTTGGAATTAAACTAGGTCTCCTTTGAAGTCTTAATGTATTGCCTCCATTGTCCAAGCTCAAACGCAACCAAGTTAAGATTAAGAGCTGAGGAATCTGGCTGGGTGCAGTCGCTTATTGCCCATAATCCCAATACTATGGGAGGCCGAAGCAGGCGGATCACTTGAGGTCAGGAGTGTGAGACCAGCCTGGCCAATGCAGTGATGCCCTGTCACTACTAAAAATACAGAAATGAACCAGGTGTTGTAGCAGGTTGCCTGTAATCCCAGCTACTCAGGAGGCTGAGAATCACTTGAACCTGGGAGGTAGAGGGTGCAGTGAGCCAAGACTGCGCCACTGCACTCCAGCCTGGGTGACAGAGGGAGACCCTGTCTCAAAAATAAATAACTAAATAAATAAATAAGCTGAGGAATCTATCTTGACAGGCTAGATTCTATGAGTTTTCAGTATTTCTCCACATAGAACATTGGAGAAACTGAAGGTCATCCTCAACATATACAAATTGCTATACCAGAAACTTTTCTTCAAGCCAAACTTTAGAGCAAGTTAGGAGAATCAATAGTTCCTCATTTCTAAGTTTAGGTCCTAAATTCCAAAATTTGAAAGAGGTTAGGGAGTAAAATGATGAAAAGTTGAACATCTGGAATGGAATTCATGAAAATGGTCAAGTCTTAGGCTTGTACTCCTGCCTTTATTTCAAAGCGTCATCAAAGGAAACAGCAGCAGCAGCAGCACCTAGCTGAATTCTAGATGGGATATAAATAAAATATATATAGAAGAAATCTAAAAACAAGCTAAGTAAAGAATCCTTGCAGTGAGGTGTAATGCAACTTCATCACTTTATTCAAATCTTCAAAATAGTCTTTATTCTACATTTTTAGTATAAAAATTCCACAAGTTAAGTGCACCACAGTGTAGAGAGAGACATACAACGCTGAACTTCCATAACAGTCAATGGTACAGTCAAACATCACATGTACAGAACACACAATTTAGATGAACTGAAATTATAAGATAAAATAAAATAAAATCCAATTTCAGAAAACAAAAATCAAAACATTAAGGATCCCTGAAATATTCTTAACCCTAATAAGATTTCACTGGACTCAAGTCATTTTGTAGTGAGACATTCACAATATGACCCTATTAACCCAGTCTAGGAATTCTGGGGAGCCGAATGAGTGGCTGCATCAGACACTCTGACAAAAAATGGTAACCAATTTTTGATCTGAAAACTCCTCTTAATTTGGCTCTTAACACATCAATCAAGCTTTTGAAATGCATCCTCCTCCTTGCCCCTCATATTTTAAACCAACTGTTGTTCACAGTACACTTTGCACGATATCTTTGTTCAAACATAGCTCAGTTTTTCTGGCACCAAAGCAAATTTGGGTTAGGTTCGTGTATGCAGAGACAACCTATGAGGAGGGCCCATAAGGCACCCTCCACTTTTGCCTGAGGAGATACGAAAGCAGAAGTAATGGGATCTGTGCTTGGGGCACAGAGAGGGTTTCAGAGGATCCTTGTGAAACACTAGTTAAAAGATGACGAGTGGGGAGAAGTGCGAGGAAAGAAGGAAATTAGTCTGACTGGCTTTCTGTCCTGCACCATTGATTCAATGGAGACTGGCGGGAGGAAATGGAAGACTAGGGTTGGAGATGGGATGGGTGGGGCAAGGGATGGAAAGGAAAAGGCAGACAACTAATGCGTTCCATTTATAACAAGTAATATAAATCAAAGACTTAAAGGAGATTAAAGACCAATCAGAATAATTTGGCAACTTTAATTCTTAGGAAGATCAAAGTTCCCTCCAAAACTAATTTGATGTTTTATTACTAAAAGCAAAGACCAGTATGGTACAGTATTACTCCAGAGAAATTATAGGAAAATCCTTAGGGCGGCTTCACCCACATTCATTTTATGAATGGATACCTCCCCTACCTCAAAATGCTTTAGGGAGGTACTGCTACCATTACATGGTTCCTTATTAAATTTGAAAAGTGCCTGAAAGATTGGGCACCAGAAAGACACCCCAACAACATGTGTCTAAACTGCAACTTCAGGTTAATATGACTAAAGCAGTTACATTGTGAGAAGTGCTGAAGGTATGTGATGTCTTTCCCGGCACAAAGGTGGCCTTGGTTCCTCACCAGATGGTGTAGCCACCATCTGAACCACCCATGAAGAAATTCCCCTTCCGCTGAGTTACGAGGACGTTGGCTCCCTGCATGACTGCAAGCTGAGCAGCATTGGGAGGGCATCCAGGAGGTGGAGGCTGAAAGGAAAGGATATAATAGAATGGGCACAGGGTGGCTAATATAAACAAAGGGAAGGGGACATAGGGGAAGCAGAGGCCTGTTAGGATGAGGCAATGTGCTAACCAGCTGCATTTTAAGGAGCTAGTTCCACCATCAATTTGAGTTCTAAAGTAGGTCTATACTTCATGTGAACCCAAAGATACAAAGAGAAAAGGGAGCCTACCACTCATTCAAAGGGTTCCAGCTCTAAGAGGAAGCCTGTGGCTAGCTTCTGCACATGAACAGGCCAGACCAACAGTCATTTGGAGGGTAGGGAACCACTGCCCTACTCACATTCCCAAAACAGGGACAGGGTGCCAGGCTATGGATGAATCCCACATGCTTCCTACGTCGGGTTTTTTTTTGGTTTTTGTGTTTTTTTTATTTTTTTGAGACAGAGTCTCGCTCTTGTTGCCCAGGCTGGAGTGCAATGGTGGGATCTGGGTTCACTGCAACCTCCGCCTCCCAGGTTCAAGTGATTCCCCTGTCTTAGCCTCCCAAGTAGCTGGGATTACAGGCACCCACCACCACGCCCAGCTGTTTTTTTTTTTTTTTTTGAGACAGAGTCTGGCTCTGTTACCCAGGCTGGAGTGCAGCTGTCTCTTATACACATCTAGATGTGTATAAGAGACAGTTATAGTAGAGTCGGGGTTTCACCATGTTGGCCAGCCTGGTCTCGAACTCCTGACCTCGTGATCTGCCCGCCTCAGCCTCCCAAAGTGCTGGGATTACAGGCGCCTGCCACCGTGCCCAGCTAGTTTTTGTATTTATAGTAGAGTCGGGGTTTCACCATGTTGGCCAGCCTGGTCTCGAACTCCTGACCTCAGGTGAGCCACTGTACCCGGCCCTTACATAGTTTTTGAATAAACTACTGGATAACTGAAGGCTTCACTAATGACACATATTCGCCTCATCTCTAGCATGTAGTTACGGAGTAGTCATTTGGGCTGTAAATCTCATGCACTGGGGAATTAAGTAGGAAAAAATGATAACTAACACTGTTAATATCTATCTAAAAGCTACTTACTAGGGATTATACATTCTACTTTGTTAATCATCAGGGTTCCTAGTACAACACCATGCTGATGGCAAATATTGAGTAAATGCTTATGGAATGAATAAGAAGCATTACTAGACCAGTTCAGTGTACCAAAATGAACTGGAAAAGCAGCAAGTAGGACTCGATAGACATGAAAACAAAAGAATCAGGTTAACTCAGTCCCCAGTGAGATGCTATTCACTTGCCACAGTTTTGCCCCCTCAAACACTTTCTGATGAGGTCATACTCACAGGAATGTTGCCAGCAGTAGCCCCAGCTCCAAATCTGGCACCTGCATCATACCCTCCTTCCACCAGCACTGTGGAGCCAGGTGGATAGATGGGACTGACTGGATAATAAGCCATGGGGATTGTGGAACCTAAAGGCCCAACAGCCACAGACTGGGCCATGGGAAGATACAGAGAGGCTCCAGGAAATGCGGCTGACATGGTGGGGACTGTGGCAGCCCCTGGGTGCACAAAACTCGGACGATAGAGCTAGAAAAGGCAGAAGAGAAGGCAAAATGTTACTTGATTACATTCCTATTTGAGATCTCTTTAATAAGCCAATTCTTAATTCTCCTTGTGCAGGTTATACTTTTTGTAAGATCATACAAGTTGCCTTGCCACTGGCCTTCAATATTCTCCTGGATCACTTTCTGCTATAGCTAATGTTGGGCTCACAGAACGCAAATTCATCTTCTGCACCTCAGCCTGTGCCAAATAACACAAAATCATCAAATAATGTACTTTCAACTCCGACAAAAACTGCCAAATTATATAGTGTTTTAGATTATTCATGTGAGCATTTGTGAAGAGTAAACATGTGAAGTCAGACGTAGCTAAGGACTAAAGGACCACTCTAAGAGTATTCTCAGCTAATTCAAGTCTGTCAAACTGGAAGCACCTCTGAGTAGGCAGGTGGAGCATCAGTATAGGGTGGAGCCTGAGGAAGATGCA